AAAAAAAAAAACTTGACCCTTTGCAACCTTGCTTTTTTATGTTGAATTTTTTGTTAATTAAAAAGGAAGTTAATGAGCTCCTTGCTGAAATGAATATCGTATAAATTATGTTCTCCGCGCATGTTTGCCAAGCAACTGATTTTGCTAATAAGTGTTCTCCAATGTGGTAGCTCTGGTATAGTATTCTCCTCCGTTGTCGCATGCAATTCATATAAATATTTCCCAAACATGTTTCCCGAATACCAGTTTTAAGACGAGAAATAGATTCAAAAACTGAACAAATACCTAGACGGGGTAAAATATTTCAAAAAAAATTATAAACTCGAGATGAATAAATAATCATTAAAAGAAAATACTTACTTCTTATATACAACAGTCGTCACGTTTCTCTCTTTTTCTTTTTAATCTCTTTCCACCTTCTACCACCTCAGATGTCTTGAGTCGTCAATATTCTAAGGCATGAGTGGTCTATAATACAGAGCTATCCGTTTTCATTAGTTTTTTTGTTTGAGGAGAACTGGCCGACAAAACCGTAATGAATAAACGTTCTCATAACAGCCAAATTTGTAATTCGCAATTTGCTCGACTTCTAATCACAATCTGTTGATTTACGATAAAGCCGGACCCGTCATTGGTTCGCGTTAAATCCATGTCAATTGAAAAAGGTGTTTACCAAATAAGAAAAATGCCATCTGTTCTTATGAGATTGTTTATTTTCTTAACATGTTCATTACACAATATCTTGTTCTGCTTTTCGGCAAGCATTTCAGGCCACATTTGCAAATGCTGTTTGCACTTGCTCAAACAATTTGCATAAACTGTACAAGGTTATAACCAACCGATTCAGGTTGCGAGACCTTTATACTGTTAACTATACTTATGTTTGACGTTTTTTTTGCTAAGAGAAAGTCATTTTGCCTTGACTGATAAAACAAGTCATAATCCCAAAATTGTACATAGTATTTTGAGATTAAGCCGTCGACTAGTGTCACATACAACAAAAAAGCAAAATCTAATACAAACAATAAAAGATAACAACATATTTTGTTTACATTGTTCGTTTGAGGAATACATATGAAAAGAAAATGTTTCCAAAATGTAATTAAACGAGAAGGAAGAATTATATTCAAGGTCGTGTTATATACTGAATGCGCCTTAAGGTCGCCCGTGGCACATACAAAAAAAGAAATTTAAAGTCGACTACAATATTGTATAATTAGTTAAATAAATTTAAACTATAACATAGCCATGTTTTAGGCTCGTGGAAACTTATGATACTTTTAAAATTATGCCGTTTCCTCTAAGGTTATTACGTAGCTACAATTAATTCTAGCATACATTAGTTACAATCTTGAAATTAAATACCGAAACGCAACGAGACAAAATGGTTTCTGATATGAAACAAACGACATTTTTAACGTGAAAATTACATAGACAAGCGCCGGTGATGATGTAGCCAGCCCTGGCATGTTTTTTTTGTGTGTGTGTGTGTTGTTGTTTTAGTTTTTGTTTTTGCTTCTACAAAAACCTCCCTTTCCACATGTTTAAATACCTCTCTTTCCAAGAACTTCTTTTTCCACCTTCCGTAAGCGCTCACGGGAGGTGGTCGTTTACGAGAGCTTAGACCATATTGGGTCAAAATTTTGTCTATTAGCAAATGGTAACTGCAGAGACTTACCCCACGTTCCATTGTCCATCTAAACCCATGTAATAACTTTTAGTAGGCGCAAAAATATATAAGCTTTCCAAAGTATTTATTTAGATGGTATCATGGTTCGCCTCTGGTAAACTACCTAATAAGTCGAATGCTGCAACTTATTATCCAATTTCCGCTCTATTACCTGCCAAGTGGTGCCTTACGGGAGAGGGTAAAAACAAAAGAAAATTCCTAACTATTAGCTCTAAAATTGGTCGCGGTTGCTTACGAGAGGTGGCGGCTTACATGTAGAAGAGGCTCCAAATATAGTGATTTGACTTGGAAACTTTTAGTATTTTGGAAAACTAGTCGCTGAAGAGAGTGGTCACTTACGAGAGGTGTTCGCAACTGGAGGTTCGAGTGTAAGTAGTTTTTGTCTTCTTTTGTTTCGTTCTGGGGTTAATACTAGCCTCGTACTGACCTTAAGGCGATTCATATATGTTGTTCTCCCGTTTAATGACTCTGATAGTTAAGGAGAACACTCTCTTTTTTTTAATATTGTTTTTCCAACCCAGGCTAAATATTCTTATTTTCTTTTAGGTGATTTTAGGGATATTCTTGGATTATAGCGTATGAAATTTCTGTTTTCGAATGTATTTGGGGTATATTTGGTGTCTGGATGTTGTTAAAATAATTTGGAGGCCAGACCACAGGCAGTTAAGCCTGATATGACGTACGTGGGCTGGTTTTGCCGTTTAGAGAAAGGAATCATTTTATACGGTTTAGTTAGACATGTAATTGCAATCTCTTTACAAATTTTCAACACATAAAATTATTTTCTTTCCAAAATCTCAGCCTTGGGTTTATTTTTAAAATATTCTTAAAATTTCGCAAATTTCGTCTTCGATATTCTTATAAAATATATTCTCATAAAAAGAAAAGGGCACAATTGAACCAAACTACTTTCACTCCCAGAATCACACTTCACAACTAGCAGTTCTAACCTCCAACCACTACTAAAACTAAACTTACGTCCAGGGTATGACTGATTTCAACTAATAAAAGTTATTGAGCGTTGCTATCATGTCTTTGTTTATTATGTTGTACAAGTTGGTTCTCACTTTTATGGTTGTAGATAAAACCCTAGTGTGTGACCATTCAAATGAAAGCTATTGAGGAGTATTTTTGCAGGGTACTGTTTATTTTACCCTTCAGAAACATTAGATTTTGAACTTAACACCTTCGTATATTTTAAAACCGCAGTCTGAGACCACTCAGTTAAGAGCTATCCCAATCTAAAGTATTTGTTAGAGCCAGGGGCTTGTCAGGAGAAGATCTGAGGCTACTCTTCTTGCCTTTCTGTACATTAAGTGGCGGGAAAAATTGCTTTAGTGTCACCTAAATGAGTGGCTAGTTTATCCGGGGGGAGGGGAGCTAGTTGACAGCTGTTGCAAATTCACTTTTTAATTAAATCTGTTTCAGGATTATCGCTTTCGCGTTGTTAAATTTAATTAGTTTTCCTTGATGATAGTAATGTGTTTTCAGGAAGTGGTAATGAGGTGAAAATGGTATGTCTAAGACGAAAAGGCAATCAGTTGAATTTGTTCCCTCTACTGAATTAACACCCAGTACCAACGTCTTTATTAAGAGTGGTATAGTAATAATAAAGCTGAGTGGAATCCAGTTTTATTCGTAATCACACAATCAGTAATTGAAGAAATTCGAAAACAACGTAGCAGATTCCTTAAAATAACATAATACTCTTCGACGTGCAGGTTAAGCCTCGCATGGGGGCCGTGATTATTCAATTTCATAGTTCTACACTCGTCTCGTTTTTTAAGAATATATTTTATAACAATATCTAGGCTAAAATTTGCGAAAGTTAATTAACATTTCAAGAATGAACCCGAAAAAAATTTTGCGTGAAAAATTTTGTAAATGCAATACAAAAATAGCTAATGATATGTTTTTAACTAAACAGTATAAATTTCGTCCTTTCTCTAAACGGCAAAACTGGTCAAAAAGCAACAAAAACAGCACTAGCCGTATGTTCGATACTAATAACATTTCTACAAGATGTTATGTACGTCATATCAGGCTTTGATGCCTTCAGACTGCGGGCTCAGAAGATGAGTTACTTTAACACTATACATCCAGACATCAAATACATTCGAAAACATTCGAAAACTGTCATAAGCTATAATCTAAGAATATTTCCAAGAATATATTCAGCCTAAAATCGGCGGAAAATAAGAATAGTCAATCTCTTCAGGAAAAATAATATGCTTACAAAAAAGAGTGTATAGTGGCACTGTGCAATTAAGGGTGCCTGGGGCCAGAAGTTATTTCCTATTTCCACACGACAATCGTGTGCTGGAAATCTTTATGGTTAAGACGGATTCCGCTCAAAGTTCAAAACTTATTAAAGATCCTGGTCCGCTTTCCGTTAGTTTTAAATTGTGAGAACAGTCGCTGGGACACAGACGTAAATCAACTCAATAGCCTCTATTCGGCGCGAAAGTATGCTGGGATATTTATCCGCGGACATTATCTGTTCCGGGGAGCGAACAGTTTTTCGAGGGCGAAGCTTGAGGAAAACTGTGAGCTTCGAGGACGCGTTTAGACCAATATCGTAGCTGTCATGGTTTCATAAAAGCCAAAATTGAAAATCTCATTCCCCAGCTTGCTTAATTCTTGTACGCGCAGTCAAAACTCAAATCAACACCAAGCCCGGGGGGAATCCCAGGAAATTTAGGTGGGGGTGTGCAGCCCGCTTTCCAAAGCCCTTACCCTTTCTAAGACCAAAATCTGCTATTTTCCCTACCCTATTTATGACCTGACC